ACAACTAGTAAAACGGGAGTAGACTTCAGTTTCAGAAGCAACTGTTGGACCTGGCGAATCGCGACAATGCAGGACTTCACATGGAAGGAAGGAGATGTAGTTCATCCACCACATATCCGTGCTGCTGAATCATGAGATGATATTAACCAATGACGGCCTGAAATGCTCACTTTAATCAACTTGCTGTTGGTGGGGATCAGACGAGAAAAAATCGAAAAGGCGTAATTAGCTAAAATCCATTCCTTGTATAGAATACATTGGAGATTGTTTCTACCAGCAAAGACAATCGATCCGACGTCATAAGGTCCAGGCAGGATCACGTTGCACACTACCCACACGCACGTGCTCGGGTTGATTTGCCATAGCGATAATCGACTTAAACAAGACATGTGCTGAGCTGCACCTGGGCTGACCGCAGGCCAAGTTGAACTCGAAAAATGGGGATGGGGACAAATTGAGGCGATTTAAACAAACACACAGCTCAGATCGGAATGCGCGTGTGGATGAAACCGCGCACACGTAAAAAAAACACACATAAACCAAGTTGACCAAACAACGCTCGGTAGATTTTCACATAAATCCACGTTTGCTGTGTAAAATGGCTCCAATTAGCTGCCCCAAACTGCAGGCACAAATGAACGCGAGGTTTGAAAGCGGAGCAGTTAATCTAAGGAGGGAAGGCACACGGGAACGTTGGTGGTTGTGGCGACGTGTGAAGAGACCCTAAGGGCTAACATGAACGTACCTCGAATTGACCCCGGTGGAGAACTGAGAAGCGAGAAACGATCGCAACAATTCGCTCCGGCCGAGGGCTGCGATCAGGTGAAGCGGCAGAACGCCTCCAGTGCTGGGCAAGTTCGCCAAATGAGGAGCAGTCTTTAAGGGAACAAATATCAAGGTATTAGTGATAAACCCCATTCGTGTGGAATACGTGGCCTGACGCATACGTACAATTATCACAGGTTGAGTGCTGCGATTCAGATGCCATGTTGTGTCATCCAAAGCCCTTCAAGAGCTTACGGGATGTAGCTTGAAGTCACTACAGCTGTGCTTATCGGAAAAAAAATGCGAAAATCTGACAGGAAATTGAAAAGATGCGTCACCCCAAAATGTCCAATAATCGATCAACAGCGAGGACTTTCGCGGAAAAAAAGGCAATCATATGAGAACCCATAAAATTTCCCGCCTAGTTCGTGGACAAGAGATGTCAACCCACGCAGGAGGCCCATTGACCTACATTGGGCCCACCAATCAGAAGGCGAGTAAATTACACGTAAGAGCCAATCATAATTTAAGTGGACGCACGTCACACCCGACGGCCGGATTTACGAGCAAGATCCTTTTAAACTTCAGGCACTTCCCCTTCTCCCCCCCCGGGCACGGTTGCTCTCACCAACCCACCAGCCCAAAATACCGATTTCAGTTAAAAAATAAGCTTTCCGAACAGGGCGAATGAACACATCAACTAGCGACTTATCTTCCACAAATGTGATCATGTGTGGGAGGTCGTGGTGTTCAAATGTCGAAGTGTACACGTGATTGGTCCAAAGAGCAACGCTCTATTGGTCAACTCAAGGTAAGACTAACAAAACAAATGACCTCAGACGAGGGACGCCTCTTTGAGCGGTTACTGTGTCAGCTCCATTCACACCAAAACAGAGGTATACGGAGGGTCGCCTCACGAACTGAGAAACGTTACCAGGGTAACGAAAACGGAGTATTTATAAGGACTGAGTCTATGCATGAGTTGCGAAGGCAAAAAGAACACAGCACGCCCTGCAAAAACGCGGCCCTTGCTGAGGCTTGGGCGGGGTCAGGCGGGATGGTTTTGGCCATCTAATTGGTGTGTCCGCGTGTTGGTAATCGCCTCATTAATTTGTTAATGGGTGGAGTCGACGGGGTTGTGGGGACATTTACTGGTCGCACTTTCACCAAAGCCTCACGAGCAGCAATTGGGGAAGAAGTAGCAAGGTGAGGAAGAAGGGAGGAAAGGAGGTTGTGGGAAGGGAGGGACAGAGGGCAGGTTGAGAGCGTATTACCGCTCGAGGCTCCATGGGTCACTATCAGCCACCTTGGTGTAATCTTGAGTGGGAAGAGAAGAGTACGGGACCTCGTCTTGTTGAAGACGTCGGCCTAGGACCTCACCACAACCCTAGGTAATTTCGAGGAAACAAGTAAGGTGACTTCTGGAACTACGACAGTCAAAGGAACCTCCGTGCGCAGGCCTCTAGGCACACCGCAATCGCAACACAACCATATTCGGCATACTCCATGGATTGTCAAAGAGCTTCTCATCTAGAAGGGGGTTTTTTAATGAGGACTGTGTGAATGTGATTTTAAACGATCATCTTGAAAATACCTCACACGGATGCAGTGGTCACCAAAACGCGTCTTCATTTGGCGCGAGGATTCTAATGATGCACTAGAAAGGGCGGTATTTTTTAAAAAAAACGTGAGAATATTGAGAACTAAATAAAGACTTGAGGAGAGGAGGTATGCAGAACTTAGAAACCCCTCGTGTTTAAAAGGTGCCTGGGAATTTCGATAGCGTTGACCAAAACAAATGGCGATTAGCAGTGACGTGGAATAGGGATTTGTGTTTTGAAGTAAAGGAGCACACGTCAGAAGAGGGTGAGAATCCAAGCGGGAAGCGGTGCGTGTCAGAGACAAATTCGCCTGCTTTGCATCCCTCCCTCGTTATTTTACATCTTGGGAAACTAGTCAAAGGGTGGCGTGAGAGTAAGGAATGAAATTGCATGAAAAACTGAAAACAAAAGCAGTAGAGCACATCGTCACTGGCGGTAGCAGGACACAAGAGTGCGATAACAAGGCCGTTGCGTTCCCCGCCCTCAACAGTCTCCACTTTGCACTGCAGATACTTGGAAAGAACGCCACTCGGAAAATTCCTCTCTACCACGTGGGTCTTGTGGCACCACGGTGGCACCATGTCGAATGGTGACTGGGAATTCAACTACGCCTGCAACCTCTGGTACCGATGTGGACAAGTGTGTGTGTGTGTGGCGGGGGTGGGGGTGTGGTTAGAGTATATGGACGCGAAGAAATCAAGGCAGGCTAAATCGAAGACAATTATGCAGGACTCGTTAATTCGGAGACTTTTACTGTCAGAACAAGGGACCAGAAGTTTGCTGGTTGGTGAAAATCAGGGTTCGGATTAGTGAGGCAGTGCCTGCATTTACGATGCACCAATGCACAAACAACCACGAATGCGACCTTGCTATGTGTTCAACGAATTGCATGGTTCGGAGGCCACGACTGCATGAACGGCGGAGCTTGCGTGACAACAACACGACCGATTTCCAACCCGATGCGTTACGTCCGCACCTCCGTGTGCCTCGAGTCAGCAACTCTGTTCGTAGACGAAAACATGCAGAAAGGTAGACGGGTCTCAGTTCATGGAAGATGATACTCACGATCGCCTTCTAGCAGTTTCCTCACGAACATCTCGTTTAAAATCAAGTCAAGAGGGATTCACTCGATGATGATGATGATGATGATGGTGATGATGATGATGACCAAATTACAGTCGTCAGGACTTTGGTATCTGCGGTTCCACCTCATATTGCCTTTCAAGTGGCATTGTAGAGCGATGGTAAACATCTACAGCTTTTGCGCGCCTGGAGCATAAACCACATGACCACTTTCATATCAACTAAAAAGAGCTGTTTTTACACACGTACGTGTCAGGAAATGGACTTCCTGCTTGCAGTTAACAGGAAGGAATGGGCTGGTGCAGTCGGTTCACAAGTCAACTGACGATGCCACAGGCACGTTCAGTCGAGCGTGTGACTTTTTTTTCTCTGAAAAAATCGCCTCCGTCTCAGCCTTGCGTGATGTTACAACAATCGAGCACGGCACGTGCCTTCACTAAACACGAGTGGTGGGGATCCACGATTCCCCAAGGTTGCTCGTCGTTGGTTTTTGCCACTATTTGCATTAATTCCCTAACATGTGTTTTATTACGCTTTTTATCAGGTCAAGGTCAACCTTGACTTGAATTAGTTTCACTTTCGACAACCCACTCCGCTCGTGGCTGACCTGATAACAGCTCCCTACACGAGCTCTGGTCTTGTTCTTGTGTTAGAGTGGGAAGGTTGGTTCTAGCGTCGTCAAGGGATCTGGTACCGTTATTTGAGTGATTTTCTCTTGGTTACGGCCAAACGTAACAAGGAGACACCGACGCGCCTGAGTCTGGGTCACTCGCAGCAGCGCCAGTTACACCCAGAGTCCCTTAGCTGATTCCAGAAAATGTAACTGACTGTCAAATGTGTACTTTCGCTGTTGTAACAGACGATGGGCCGATTTCCGGATTGTGCGATGAAAGAGTGATTTAAAGTGGCGTCCGTGTAATTTGATGACTCAGGAAAATGCTGAATCCACAAAAGTAGTTAACGGTTCAAAAGCGTGATCAGACAGCTACGGACATCGAAATTCAAGCTCAAGCAGATTATTTAACTAATTCACTTTTTACGATTATAAGTACAACAGCTTGGCGACCGAACGACTTCATTATACTCCTCGTTTCCTTGAACGCCATTACAAGTTCCGCTTACACGAACTTGCACTCTCTTTACGTTCCATAGTTTTAAGGATTCAGGTAAATTTTGTGGGTTCAAACAAGCGAGGTGTCTACTGAAAACTGGGCTTTAACGTCGGTCAAAATATGTTTGATTCTTAGAAGCAAAAGCAGAAGGAACACACGTTTAACCGCAAAAGAATTGCAACTAGCTGACGTCGACTTAGAGGGACTAGTTGTCCTTGTTGTCAAATTTGAATGAAGCCAAACTAGTTAAATAGAACTCCAGCAGGGACCAACTAAGGGTGTTGGGGCTGTAGCACGACTACGGCGTAGATCGTTGCTACGGATCATGCGGAATTTGGCGATCTGCACGCCAGACACATCGGAAAACGATCTTGACTGCACGGTGGGGGGTGAGTGGGGTGAGGAAAGCTTACGTCGCGCACAATTGCACCACCTCCTCAAGTAGTGTCTGCGACGCACGACCCGAGGGTTAGATAGTTTAATCGCAGACGGAGAAACTAGCGCCTCCAGGACAGAGACACCTGACGCCTAGTTGTTACCGGTGAGCTTTCTCGCGATACTGGCTACTACCGTCAAGAGTACACCCCCTCGCCTGCACAACTCTGAGATGATTGGCTGTGCCTTAAAAGCGGTTTCTCATAGGCTAGTCGACGCGAGTAAGGTGCCTTCAGCGTGAAACGGGCGATTCGCAGCTCGTGCATGGGGGTTCCACATGAGGCGTGGATGGACTGCAAACAGACGCTGACGGGTAAGCACAACACAAAACACGGCTTCTAAGGCGGCCTCGAATCGGGCGCAGTTGGCTGAATGAGTGCGCGCATCGGCTGGGTGTGTCTCGCGTGATCGCAAACCCCGAGAGCGCATTAACTGCGTACCTTGAGTAGCCTGCTGAAGAGACCGCAGGAGTGGTTGGAGCGTATCACAGCCAACAACGCCGTGTCGTCCCTCGGCTGGAGCGCCACAGAAAGCCAATTGGCTACCCCCGGGGAGTTGACCTCGAGGTCAAGGGGGTTGGCGCGAACATCGTCGCGGTGCACACTCGTGTCCGCTGGGTGGGCGGGAAGGCTAAGGGAGGGCCGTGGGACGGACTGGAGGCGGAATTCGAAATCCAGGAGGATGTCAACGATCGCACTCTTGTTCCTCTCAATCGCTCTGTAAGAAAAACAAAATGGATTTTAGTTAATCTTAAAAAGACATTCGACTAGATTTGTCGGCCCAACAGATGACGCAACACCGAGTTTATACGCTACACGTATTTTGCACAAAATACAGCGCACAAGTTCAGACATCGAAAAATCTACTATACCGGAACCTGATACCACCAGGTACGCAGATAATTTCGCTCTATATGGTAAACTGGCGAGGCACCAATGCACATTACGATCTCGAGATGCGCGAGAAAGATTACACTGGTTAATAAGCTCACTGGCTGGATGCCGCATCACCTGAGCGACAAAGACATGGCTGAAGACCTGACCGCCAGTAATTCGCTACTTGACCGCGGCGAAAACGCAGGTTTTCGCAAATGCACATTTTAGAAGCAATGACCACTTAAATGTTTGCATCCGTTACAAATTTCGATGGCAGCGGCAAAAAAGAAGTGTCGCGCACTACGAAGTACTGCCTTGAAAGCAAACCACCAGTGCCGATAAGTGCCTTCTTACACAGCTGATTGACATGAAGGACGGAGTTTTAACGGGAAAAGGCCAAAGTGAGGAAGGCGCTGGAGTTTTGTGCTGCGCCATGGCAACACCAGGCAGCACGTTACCATGGAAACGAGGCAAAATTCTAGGAGCTTGTCTAAGACGCGTTAATGTGCCCTCGAAATTTCGACTGTTTATCGGGAATTATTGACATTAGTTGCAAAAATAATAGGGTTAGTGAGTAAACTAGCCATTGAGAAGAGCTAATTATTCGCCAGTTAAAAAGAACAACTGCGAGTGTTAAAAATGATTACAACTTAATCATTAAAAGAACACCATGTTAGGATTTTTGTAGGCAGAAAATAAGTCGCGTGCGGATGTGGGTTCTCATTTAAATAAATCCCTCCGACTTTTCATCAAAGCGTAATCGCGCCTGGGCTCTGCACTAAACATGTGGACTCCACCCTAACCGACACGGTGAGTGCCGAGGCCCTCGTCTTAAAGGCTGTGAAAATAATATTCGCCGCGCGTCATTTGTGGAAACTTGCAGGCCATGAAAACAGTATGGTAAATATAAATAACCACCCTCTTACACATCAAAAACGGAAAAACAGAAGCATCGCGATTCAACTGGATTTATTGGGGGTGAGGATTGCATGAATCAAATTTGAAGAAAATCTTCGACAGGCAAAATATTTAATATTCGATTTCTCTCAAATGAGCCTCTTTTAATTTTCCATCCGGATAACACTGGTGGGGAACAATTAACTTGAATTACACTCATTTCCGTACGATCTCATCCTTTTACCGGGGAATTCATTAAATGATGATCATTCAGCTAAGGTAGCCTGGCGTTAAGACAACCCGCAGAGAGTTGAATAAGAGAGCAGGTTAGTGGTTCACAAAAAAGGTCCTACGTTATGAGCATTGAGTTCAGGTAACGCTGTGTCCAGTGTGCAGCTATATTCCTCGTTCGACGAGCCAGAAGATCAGCTTCAACTGAGGCAGTGGCACTGAATTCGGCCTCAAACAGCAGATTCTCACTCGTCGCTATGAATGCTGTCCATGCCTTACCAGCACCCTCCGTCACGTAATCGAAAATCGATCGCGTTGACGCGGCTCCTTTGTGTACACTTTTGTCGATAGGACGGGGACGTCTAACGGGTGCGTCGTCAATTGAAACAAGAGTAAAATCACCCAAATCGTCCTGATCAGTCAGATCCACCTTCATGGATAGGTCGGTGTAACTGCGGTATGTGCATGTAGACGACTTGAACTGCTGCAGCAGTGCCTCCAGAGTAGTCGTGTCGGCTGCATTTGAGGCTGCCAGCATCTCTAAAAACAAAATAAACGCAATAGTGGCAATAAAGGAAGGCCGGTCACGGGAGCAGCCTGAACATTCAACTTACTTTGAAGAGTTTTGGCTAAAACAGGAAATTAAGATTATTTGACGTCAGGTTTGGTCAAGTCTACCAAAAGTAGGACATACTTACTCCATGAAGACACAAGCAAACAAGCAATGTCAGAAGAGCTATGAGCAGCTTTGTGTGGAGTGTAGTAAAAAAGATCCAAAGTGTCTTGACAAGCGTCTGAGCAGTTTTGGGAGCAACCGAGTGCTGGTGCACCTGCGGACAGCAAAATATCACAGGCACGCAAATCTCTAGCAATAATGGCGCGGTGCAAGATGGGCTATAAATAAAAAAGGAAAGTGGTAAACATACATGAAGGATGGGAGTTAAAAGCTTTGAGAAGCGGAAAGTCACATAAGCAAACGTACCACACTGATTCCACCATATTTTATTTTTTTAGAAAAAGGAAAACCTGAGAATAAAAGATAACATCTTTCATGACAAACCTTCCACTAAGACCGCTTTTTGAAGAAAACCATATTTTTGAGAAGCAATAGCGACATGTGAAACGAAACACAAAACTTCAAGACTTTCAAATCTTGGAATTTCTTCTTCAAGTTCCGTCCACATTCCATCCCTTACATAATCCAAAATCAACTTATCCATTTGAGACAGAACAGCCCCAATAACCAATCAAAATAATGAGTTAAGGACGCCACTTATATTTGATTGTGGGATTCTACAAATACCCATTTAAACAATAAGGTTGCTATAAAAACATATTTTTAAAACTAAAAACTTTGTCTTCTAACAAATATCATTAGATTTAATATGATTTTTCAACATTTAATACCTTCTATAATTCCCAAAATATATTTTCAAAGATAATGCTTTCAACTTTTTGGGAAGCATTATTTGCGTTAGAAAACACATTAGTTGTATTGTCAAATCTAGTTTGAGTGCTATTTATATTACCTCGTCTACTTATGAGAGGTTCCTAATTTGAAAACTAAAATTAAAACGAAATGGCAAATATAAATTGTTTCCCTGTGCTCTGATGTCATGACATCTTGACTTCTTATGCTTTTCTTGCCGGATTTGGCATTTTTGTTTTCTATTGAATTTGCGTGAAATATCACCTTTTTATTGAGTGGCGTGTGAAATTAAGTACTTATGTAAAACAAACTTTCTTAGTTAGCTTTATGAAATATGCGACTGAACAGGTATAGTCACAATGAGTGCTTGACATTTTAATGATATGACATGTGAAGCTGCCGTTGATGTTGTCGATGATAATTTATCGTGTCCAGTAAGTATTTCAGAATTTTCTCGTAATAATACTAATCCCATTTGCATTTCGTCGAAAATAACTTGTCAAACCATAAACTAACAAAAACTGACCAAAGGAATGAAGGCTGCTAATCTAATACACAGTAATTTACCGACTTAAATTGACATACGTTGATAATAAAGCAGTTTTGCCTAACAGCACCAAAATTTGACATCTGACATGGCAAAACTCTTGGATTAGTTTTTGTAATTGTAATTATTTTTTTTAATTTCTTCCTACACACATTTATTGCGTTAAAACGAGCACGATGTTATCTGCTGACTCTTGCAGATCCATGAAATTAAATTCGTGGAATCTTTATCATCTTATCATTTTCATAATTTACCAGCTCTTCGTATTGTGAACCTAATAAGATTTTCGTCGTATAAACTTTGTGATTTGATTTTTTAGCATTTGAGGTATTTGCACAATTCACCGGCAAATATTCATCCGTACAAATTATGTGACCTAATTATTATCGTTGATTGCGAGCCTGGTTTGAAATAATTCTTCCTCCGGTTTCCACGCCTGCTGCATCATCGCTCATAGCGTCTTATTTTTTGCTTTTTTTCATAGTAGAAATCTGCATTATTTGCCAAACATTCGGTTCGAACAAAATTTGGGAGCCTGTATAATCCTTTTAAAGTTTTTCAGAACGTTCCAAATAATTATTTCTATGTTTCAGTCTGCCATAGCTCAAACACTTTTTGAATTCTATTCAACATTGAATTGTTATAAATAAACAATATTTATTAAGAACTGTCTGGAATCAGGATGTCGTTGCTTCTGTCAATGTCTTCGTGACCGTCTAGCTGCAAAATGGGCTCACTTACTTGTAAGCAAATGGAATTTAGGACTGACTTCCTGCGATTAAATTTTGAAATCAGTCAAAAAAAAAGCGACGAGTGGGGCCTTATTTGGAACCGCGATATTTGACCCCCACTTCCGTGGCCTTATTAAATCGGAAAACACCAAAACGGTTAGCTGACAGAGCTGTCAAAGGGAAGCCAGGTAACAATGCTAATAAGGACCATGTCAGATGCGCGTTTCTACCGCTATGGTAATCTAATCAGCTGCGTCTTATTATGCTACTTGGCATGCATTATAATGTATTTGTTTGTACATCAAAAAAACCATAGCATAGGAAACTTACGTGTGCTTTTTCTTAAAGTTTGTACATGGCATACTGGAGATAGATGTATGCAAATTCCGTCTTGTGACATTAATCTCTGTGTAACAAGAGTATTTTGTTTTATTTGAAAGGAACCTTTCCCTAACTCAAACCGTTTGCAGTTTTCGAAAGCAAAACGCTGTACCGTTTTTTACGCATCACTTAACGAAAGTCATTCTCAGCTTTCTCAGAACTCACAACGCTTCAGATCGCAGGAAATCCAAACTGAGATGACACTAATTTTCTTACCAAATTACACGGCATAAAACTAATGCGACAAATGACTAAATTTGCCAACAAATGTCTCAATAAACACCTTCTTTGTCCAATTTTTGCTAGATTGAAAAAAAATGTTTTACTTCTCTAGCATTCTATTTTTGTATTTCAAAATTTTGGGTGGATTTTGGGGGTTAGAAATTTTGTTTTAATTTAGTAATCTTGGACCAAGCCGAATGCTAATATAGGCGGTCTGCTAGCTGCTCAAACACGTATCTTTAAAAGTTGACTGGAGTACAGCGATAAGTTGTGGTTGCTGAGGAGTTCCCGTGCTTTGGGTGCATTCAAGTCCAGTTGCACAGAAGTCCACAGAAGTGCCTTTAAGAAAGTCTTCCAGCCAATCACGCTGGGCCGAGTTCTTCGTCAGAATGTCCGAATCCTGTGAGCTTTACTAAAACAACTTTTAAGACACTAAACTCCACAAACGTTGTGGTATAAAGACCGAAACTGCCACACGGAATGGGCATCGTGTTGCATGTTGTGATCGTTTGGTACGCATGGTTAGCATGAGTGCACCTCACTACCACCTCCAAGGACATCGTTTGAGTAAGCCGTACATGCGTGGCCGAGGTGTCCACCAAGGTATCAAAGGAGACACCATGCGATCGATAACTTGAGCCTCCTCAAATCGGGGAGCGCCCTGTGAACATCCGAGAATTCCCCTGAATTTGGGATTGGCAATTGAACAAATAATGTGCAGTTGACCTAACTCCTACAAAATCCCATCCAGAATTCTACTCTGAAAAAAATGGAGCTGTAACATTCCAGGATTGTTAATTTATTAACTCAAAATCATACTTGCTGGAAGGCGCCAGTAACGCATATTGAAATATTACCTGTTGGCGCAAGCATCATTTGCGTGCATAATGTGCGTGGTTTGTGCTGGAAATAGGATGAAATGTATTTAAAGGTGCAGTGAAAGAGGTGAATCCAGAGAAAGATGATGCAGTCGCAAATAAACGAACCACTAAAACGTGATCTTTAAACAAATTCTTACTTACTCCAGCATATCCCTCATTTATTGGTAGAACACGTTCATCCTGAAGTGGTGCATTGTGGTAAAAATCAGCATCTTTATATCTCCTCCAACGGTGGGGTGCTAACGACCAGAAAGGTCTGTGAAGTGAATGCGTCAACATGGCGCCGCCGAGTACACAGTGAACAGACTTCTCGATTAGTATGAAGGGGAAATGAGTTCTTCCGTCATCTCGAGTTCCATGGAAGACTACCCCGGCGTAATTTGGAGCTCAGTGAAGCGTTAAAGAATGTTCGCCTCTAAAGCAACACAGCATTACTGAAAGGGGTGGCCAAACTTACTGGTACATGTCTGACCACTGTGGCTGACTGTCTCATTTGATCCTCCATAATGGTGATGCTGTCGCTAGAAGAGGGAAATCTGAATGGATCACCAGAAAACCCTATGGAGGTCGACAGATTCAGGTGTGCAGGACACCGGGAGTACAATCGTGGCCGATGTTTAAGTGGAGAGTCACCTGCCAGACAAATCGATGCCGAGCCTGTACTCAATCATTGGACAAAGTACTTACCTGTTGATAGTTCATGAGTCCTCGGAGTATTTTAGATGACCGATGTTAGGCAGTTCCACTCGCCCAAGCGAGATACAGCGAAACTGATCTCAATCACTAAAGACGGACTGTGAGCAGATCCACCAATGCATTCCGACGAATGCTGGCCTGCCTGTTGGAGACATAAATACTTGGTTCACTCATTTTTTATCGTTATAGAGATGTTTGGAGGAAAATGTCATCTTCGTGGGCAGATGCCTTAAGAGAACGTCGTTAGACGAATCTGTTTCATTCGACATGAACACACAGTGCAGCATTTGGTGGGTTTCTGAATACCTGTTAAACCACATCATGAGCCCCACGTCACGGGTGATGTTCGCGCCGAACGCGGAATTAAGGCCGGTGTGTATGTGTTAATGGAACGTAATGGAATGGAGCGTTTTGCACTGCACATCGCCGTCCGTTTGGACTAATTGAAGTCGCGGAGTGGGTTGCGGCTGGTGCAGGCCCCACCCGCTGGCAGCGATTAGCGGAATCGCGAGTCATGCGTGTGTTCGCGAGCATCAGCAAGTGAATGTTGTGTGAGTGAGTCGCGTTTGAGGACAGCGAATGGCGGTTGGGTGGTGACGGTGTTGGTGGTGGTGGTGTTGGTGGCCGTGAGTCACTAGTCACATTAGCATATAATGTGTGCAGCCAACACCGCAAGTGCTCGTTGTAATGTGTGCGCAGGTGGCTGCTCGAGTGAGGCGGGGAGGGGGGTCAACCATTGAGGCTGATCCAGCCTTGACAAAGGGCTGTTACACCGGCGTGCTTGAACTGACTAGATGCGAATTGTTAGGGGCCCCGGTGAAGACCAGTCGTGGGGGCAGCAGCAGCAGCGAGTCGCGTTGAGTACCGCGCAGTCACGCCATGTGACTGTACTTTCCACCAACTGATCCTCAAGCAGGTGTGTGTGTGTGTGTGTGTAAGTGAATACAGTTCCAGTAGACTACACAGGCGCACTTCCATCGTCACAGAAAGGTGTGAACAAGTCACTAGGAGACGTCGTTCGACGTGTCATCAAGTAGTTTGTGTGCAGTTCACCAAATTCGCGAAATTTTTTAGCTTTTTTAACGTGGTCATGAAATATCTAATGTGCTCACCCTACAACGGTATTCAATGGAAGGTACAGCAGCATTGCAGGGAGTCGTGGTTTCATTGAATTGCCAGAAGCTGTGTCGGGAAAAGTCATCGAGGCATGATTTGTTTAAAATTTCGCGATCAGCATTTTTAGGCCTAAATTATATCGCAAGCCCTCTCGTATGTCCGCTGTTTTCTTGTTGAAATCGAGAAATGTCTGAGTAAAATGAGAAAGCGACATTTCTTCAAAGTAACTCTCCCGCAATCCGCAGATCCACCTCTGACGCCGAACACGATTACGTGGATAATGGAAGAGCTGGAAATAGCTTAAACGAGGAGTTGCCCCTGATTGGTGTTACGTTCGCTCTGGTTTCGTGGGAGGCATTTGCATGGAAATGCCAAAAATGCATAAAGACAAGCATTTGGTGATAGCACGCGTTCCCATTTCCGTCTGGTGCTTGCCGCCATCTGCTGACAATGACTTAAACCGAATTCGCAGCAACGTGGAGAGTCACAACGGTTAGGCGAATTTGTTCTAGACGGAGGTGTGGAGCATGGTGTCGCGTTTTACCCTCGAAATGCGGTGATGGTTTGACTACGGGAGATGATCTCTTGGAATTTGGACAACGTGTTTTGATACCCTTGGGATGTGGTTGGTTTCGAAGGGTCCGCATGAAGGCGACTGCAGTCGTTCGCAGTGCCCGAATTGTCAGGCGACAGTGGTTGGTTGTGTACTGCTGATGCTGGTGGATGTGTGTAAAGCAGCTCCTCGTTGAAGCGTCAACCCACACGGATGCCAAGGTGGTTACAACCACGCAATCTCAGGGGTGGTGTCAGTCACTGTGCCAATATTTCGTAAAATTACCCGAAATCCTTAGAAATCACTTACTTTTAAAGTAGTCATTGCTTGCGTTTGTTTGAGGTAAAGGCGTAAAGTTTCCATCTTATGAGAAGACAGCGCCCTGCCACGGGAAGACACTTCGAAAACAACATGGATGCAATCACCTCCAGGAAAGGCTGTACTAATGATGTTAACCTAAGTTTAGCTAAGACTCACTTATGCACACCCACGCATTGACAATAAAGGTGTAAATGACTTTGATTGCTTGGAGTTAATTTGGTTAATCGAGTTAACTC